GGTGTGCTGGGGAAAAGAGCACTTTGTGTTTTGTGGAAAAGTGATGTTTCCACTTAGAGTTTAAAAGCGCAAAAATTACTGAAACTGATCTACCACACCGGTGATAAATTGGTCACTCAGTGGGGACTTCTGGGGAGGTCAGTGGATGCCACCATCAGAGCAGTCTGGGTGTTTTAACGGCTCCACCGTGGGCGACTCCGATCTGACACACCTCACATCGCTGTCTATTGGAATAACGCGGGGGCGGTGTGACAGAACATGTTTCCCCCGCTGATATCTTGTTCCCCCGCCGGCGCCATCCGACAGTCAGAGTTGCCGCTCCGAGGAGAGCAAGGCTTTATAATTGTAACCACATCCAATTAAGTTTTCAATTCAGCCCCCTATTAATCAGGCCAGTGATCAGAAAGGCAGAAGCCACAGAGCATTTCCTGCAGAGACCTGTGAAGGGAGCAGTGTCTGATTCACAACAAGAGGATCGTTTCTGAGGGGAATATTTTTCTGCCTCTCAGTGTTTGGGCTTAAACTGCAGGAGGGGGGATGTTAATTCTGTGCCACAAAAGCAACCAACCGTTAACAGAGAGTTACATCCTGTTTAAAAGTTGTTTCACTTTATCTCCTTCCTTTTTCATTAGTTTATGTGCATCAGATTGTGGTTGTGGAGGAGCTTTTTCTTGTTTTATGGGTTTTTATGTAACATTGTCAGTTAAAATCACGTTTTGTTTTAATTTGATTAAACTTGACATTTTTAAAAATGGCTGCTATGCCAGACTACAGACACCTGACAGTGTTTCTTGAACGATGCATCTCATTACCTTATGACCATTTGTGACCTTTGTTTAATTGCTTTATTTTCCACTGTGTATTGAAAACATACCAATAATCACAGTGGAAGTCCAGCAATTTAGTATTCTACTTATCAGTAATATGACTTGTGAGAAACAGACAAAAAAAAGGTCAAAATTGAAAAAGCAAAGGCAAAGATATTCTGACTTTTAGCTCTCAGTGCAGAAAAAGCTTTCACCTGGAATTCTGTCCCAGTCACACCAGTCAATAGTCACAGCATTGCACTCTACGTTTATCTGATTATGAAGCAGAAAGCTTCAGGGCTGAAGAATGAAGCCAAGTCAAAGGTGACAAAAATTGCAGTTCCTCTAACGTCCACTTGAGGCTGGATCTAAAAGCCAGTTCCTCCCATTTTAGACTCACATGTTTCACTATCCAGCGTTTAAAACATTACAAATCATGTTTATAGACTCATACAAAAATGTTTTTGCCCATATTTGGATAGTTTCCCCTGTTAGAGCTCATCTTTTTTCATTTTGGGTTTGGCCGCTTTAATTGACAGCTGTCTCGACACGGGCAGGTAGTATCTGTGAGCCAGTCACTACTAGACCTCTCCACTGTATTTGCTCTCAGTGGCTTTTTGAACATATTAATGACAAATAATATGATTTGCTGTCCACTACAAATCATCCAAAAGGTTTTTGCTTCAGGATAAGTGAATAAAATTCTAGTATTATTATAGTCTGTCCCTTAATACTAATTAGCTCTTATTTGCATCTTTGCACTTCAATAATACAGTTTATGGATGCGCCTGGTTAGCCAGCTTCATAGCAGATAACTTGGCTTCCAAATATATTGACGTCTTGGTCCAAAAGTTCCACACAGTGGCGCTGTGGCTGTGGCCTGGTTCTGTTGGAGGTGTCTTCCTGTTCAAAGGGAGTTTATCCTTCCCACTGTCACTAAGTGGAGTTTTCTCTCTATTATTATCAGGTCTTTACCTTGTATTGTAAAGTGCCTTGAGGTGACTGTTGTTGTGAAAAATTCACATTGAATTTTTAAATTAACGAGCATTTAAGCTAACATGTTTAGCCAAGGAGTCACACGAGCAGACATGGACCGAGACTTCACTTCTTGCCCATGACGGTGAATCAGAGGGTAATATTTCCTGAGTATTTAATGAACTCACCTGAGACTATATTGGAGATATGTTACAAAAAAAAAAAAAAAAAAAAAGGAGATATGTTAAAAAAAAAAAAACTATAAACTGCTGTATAACTATAAAACTGTAGCGGGAGAAACAAACATTGTTTTTCCCTCTAATAGAAAATTCATGTCCAAGAAAACAGGTTAATAAATTGATTTTTGCTTTCTGAAATGCCACGAGCCTGTGCTGAGATTTAATCAGGCCATCTCTGCCTGATAACTGATACCCAAATCCCAAAAAGGCTTTGCCCCCGATATGACACAGACATTTTGCTGGTCATATCCAAGCCCTGGGTCTTCATTTGATCTTATTATTGTTATTCAATGTTATGAGTGGGAATTTCCTTCAGTTTGACCGTTCCTCTTGGGATTGTGTTGAATGTCATGTAAGTGTGGAATGTGGACAATAAGCTGTACATTATCACTGAAATCCTTCGGCCATAAACTATGCGCCCATATGTAACCCAAAGCCTTGGGGTGTGACAGGGGAAGTGTATTGGGACATGGTTATAATCACGATCCATCTAATGGATCAGGCTGATCTAATCCACAAATAGTTACAGTTGAGCTTTGAGCTGCTAAATCCACTCGCAGCTGACTGTCAAACAATAACAGAAATTGAAGTCGTTGTGGCGAGCTACCTTTTTTGTAATCCCCGTGATGAGTTAAAGTGTAGGAGAGAAAGCTTTTTGTTGTTGGACAGATTGTAATCTACGTGACAGCGGGGGACAGTCAGCTTTGATCTGAACCACCGTAACGCACGGTGCATTTATCGCCTCCCTGAAAGAGGTTTTAGTTTAATCTAAAATATTTGTTAGCATTTAAATGTTGGTTAAATTTGATGAACTCCTGCTTTTAAAAGGAGCTTTCAGTTATCTTTAGTTTGATTACATTTTCATTATCAGACTGTAGTTTGGGGGGGTATACTTGAGCCCAGCTTACTTTTGATTCCCTCCAACTTTTTAAACCTTAGATCTTCATGTTTTACGCATTTAACTTCACTGACGCAACAGAGGGTCACTCATTCTTATTACAACTTTTTATTTAGTTCATCTGTAAATTGGACCATGAAGGAAACTTTAGGTGATCGCAGAATAAACTGCTAACGTCTAACCAAACCGTCGCTGCTCGCTGAAAACGGCAGAACCCTAACAAACTTTGGCTAAACCCAGCAGTCCTGATGGGAATCCAAATCATTGACAGTGAGGAATAGACACAATAATCACTTTAAGTAAAGTCCAGCGAGTGATAAATAAACTGAAGAGTGGTAAGTCACTGGGCTCAGACTGAATTCAAGCAGACATGCTCAAGAATGGTGGAGAGCCAGTCTGCCGAGTGTTATTTAACATCTGTTCAAAAGTTTGGGGCCATGTGGACTCATTCCAGTGTAAAAAAGAAAAGAAAAAAGGAGACAAAACCTTATGTGAACCACAGAAGCATGAGCTTAATAAACCACTAAAGAAAATTCTACAGAAATTTAGAAAAGTAAATAAAGTTTATATACTAGCCATTATGTGAATAGAGCTGAATGCTGTAAATGGTGAAGCCTTAAGTCTCAGTATGTTCCTTGATTCCGCATAGACAGATTAGAGTAAGCGCAACGTAAAATAAAACTTTTATTTTGGTAAATCTTGCTGCCAGCACTTGAATGTAATTTAACACTGGAGAGTTTTATAGTATAGCCAAGTGAGTTAAAAAGATCAATGATAATTAAAAAATCTAACTTGATTAAACATCATACTATATAAGTCTGAACACTGGCTAATGTAATATTATTTATTTCATTAATATTATTGATAATTTCATTGAATACTATTCATTTGTTATCTTTGATGAAAGCTCAGCTCTGATGGGACAGCAATGTGTAGGTATGCATGTTCTGAACCCAGCAGTCTCAGTGGGATAGGAGGGCAACAAAAGGTGTGTGTGTGTGTGTGTGTGTGTGTGTGTGTGTGTGTGTGTTCAGTAATACACGAAACAGATTTAACTGCATTTGAGGAGAAAGTGATGACAACATGGCTGACTCATAAGTCTGCTGTCGCTCAGCATGTGAAACAGGGATAAGCCCTCAGCCTGAACAATAGACTGGGCCCCCTGTACAGGCATCTGACATGCTTTAGCTCAGATTAGTGTGTAAAATATAGGTTATCCTCCGAGGTGACAAATGGGCTTCATAGAAGTCTAAACAGTGATGCTGATTTGACACAGTGCTGCTGTTTTAAAGCTCCCCCATTATAAAGCTGTTTATTTGTGTATTTGATAAGCAATATGCAAATAGACACGTGCCATAAACCAAGTTCTTTATTGCATGCTTAGACACGTAACCCATAAACTGAATGAAATCATTAAAAAATATTTGTTATTTTTATAGTCGTAAGATCAAAGTGCAGATGTTTTAAAAGTTATCTTATACTGAACAGCTACAAAAAGATTAGAGCTTTATTAGCGCCAAGAAATACATGCTCTTAGTGGGAATGGGACATATTAAAGATTAATCGTCACTACAATAATGTAAAGTAAAGCAACTGGTCACAACAATTAATTTAAGCCATTCATGCTCAATAAGTCAGTAACTGTACATATAATATTAACTAGGAAAAGTAGCTCTATTGTTTTACTACCCGTTGCTTTTAATTCACACATTTGCATTTGTGATAGGGGGTAATTAGGATCTATTTATTATTCACACAATCCCTCATAAAAGGCTAATGAGCATTTGTTTTGACGACAGTAAAAATGCAAGAGAAAACGATTTATATTTGTTAGCACTCACAGGTCATTATGCTGCAGCTATTCGTCAGGGGCGTAGCATCCCCGGCTTGATCTGAGTCAGGGAGAGAGATCACTCATTCATTCTTCCTCTTGGGACAAAGATCCAGCTGTATTTCTAAGAGACATTATTATTATTAGTAGTAGTAGTATTATCATTATTGTCATTGTTGTTGTTGTTGTTTTTATGGTGTATTTGTTTATGGTTTATACTACCTTTAGTTTTTCCACTGATGTAATTTAACTGACGCTATTATTAGTTTTTGTGTAAAGCTTTAAATGCATTAAATAAATAGACAAAGTCATGTTTTTGTCTCTTTAGAGTCTCAGAGCCATAATTTAAAGAGAGATTTTGATGCACAGATTTATGAACAAGCTCTACGCTGTCATTGGCTTAGAGCCATGTCAATCAAATCATAACTGCCCCAAACTACATTTTTTTAAAAGGGGTTTTAAAACTTCCTAGGTGATTTATGTTTTGTTTTGTTTTTTTAAACTCACCTCCAGTGTATTTCAAATGTCTATTTTGTGTAGTTAATTAAATAAATTGCAATAAATAAATAATTTATTAATGACTTTTAGAAAAATGTGATGGAAAGGAAGATGGAAACTTTGGGGTGGAAGGGGCACCGTAAGGTAAGGGTTACGGCAGAGATACTTGTCACACAACAAACTTCATTTTTTCATAAATTTTTAACCGGTTATGTTAAGAAAATTTCCCAAAAAACCGTTTTACTGTATTGAATTAGCCATTAAGAGCTAAAAGAATATATTCAAAACATTATATATATAAGAATATATTCAAAACAACGAGTTTTTTGCATTCCAGTGAGTTTGAAGTCAGCTTGCCCCACTCCTTAGCTAGCTTATAATTTTCTGGAAGCTCAAGTTTGACAACCTGGCTTAGTCTGAACTGTGTCCACTGAGAAAAAATGTTGACAGGTAAGACATACCAAAAATAGTTCAGTAAAGTTAGCATAGTGACTGCTGAGTGGAAAATACGTTACATTTATGTAGTTAGCTTAGCTTGTTTCAGTTAGCTTAGCTTCGCTAACCTGAGTGTGCTTGTTGATAGCTTAGCTGAGATTCACACTAGCTAGGCTCTGTCAACTGCAAGATTTGATACATATATTTGAATGACCATGTATTCTAAGTTGTGAAGTACAACTTAAAAATGACTCGTTTGGCTCACTGAATCCTAAAAGAACATATATTTGATGAAAGTTTTAAATATAACTCCTACTAATCATTGAGACAATACTTTTACCAGAGAAATTAGCTGAGAAAATAACATGTAAACAAAACAAGATAAACTTTGAGCATTTTTCTATATTGTGTTACAAAACTGCAAATATGATAAAACGTACAATATAGAAGATATGGAAATTAAAAACATTAAAACAATGAGCATTTTCATGATGGTGCAAGCCTTTAAATTATCCCCGGTATGGCCTAAATAATACACGATCTGACGAATGAGCACTTTCATTTACATTTCATTTGACAACTTGTGCCACTGTTCTTGATGAGGATGCTCCTTTACAATATGTTCAGCATCCATCGTGGTGGAAACAGTGTTGAAATAGTGTGTGGAGTGATGATTGAGGGGAAATATCAAAAAAGCTCTCCCCTCGATGCAGCGCCAAGACATTAATGGCTCAAAGGTGAGAGGGCCGATGAACTAGCATGTCTCCACTCTCCTGGAGGCCTGCTGGCCTTCACCTGTTCCCTGTCCTCTACTCCTCCACCGAGTTTTCCCCCCTGCCCCGCAACAGACGTCTTATCAAACGTGACTGATTGCTGTAATCTGGACTCTAGGCAGCCATTAAGCAAATTACCTGAATCATTGCAAGGATTAGTCTCATTAACACATGATTAGCATCAAATTAAAATAATGAGTGTTTAACTTGTGATGTCTTCCAGTTGTTGGAACAGCTTGATCAGCCACACCAGGCTGACAGAGGGGGCAACCCTGCATGTCAGGGGTCCTAAATTGGCAGGGGCCAACCGTGGTGAAGGGGATGGACCTTCACTGGATTACCAAGAGTCGGCTGGCTGAAGGTAAACCTTAAATCTCAAGGTATTTTGCTGAAACATGTCACCCCAGGGGTTGCATTATAATTTGTACAATGTCCAGTTTGCCAAAATCAACACCAATATACAAGTGTCAGATTTGACAAGAAAGCTGTCCAGAAAAAAAGGAAATATGGCATTTATTTTATGGATTTTGTATTTATTTGCACAAAATCAAAAACATCGATGCCAAATAACATCAAAATACTTGGTTAAAGCTGAGTGAATGCCGAGCCCAGAAGCCAGACCCTGAACTTCAACAGGTAACAAAGGCAGTGATGAACAGTCAGGCTGCAGCCTCCGTTTCTATCCGCTCATGCTTCTACAGTAGAATCACTGTAGTGATAGCTTCAAAGTGTCTTTGTGTTGATTTTCATTTTTGCTGTGTGCCATCAGCTTTATGTTCATGCCTAAATACTAAGAGAAAGATCATGCACACCCTGGGATTTGTGTTGGTGTGTGGGCCTGTAGCCTGAGGTTTATATTGTTAAACTGTAATTATGAGACACTGGGTTTCAGGCCATTTTACAGACAAATGTAACATGGAGTATAATAAATTACTTTGGTAAACTGTTCTCTTGGGAGTAACTGGTTACTTCCACTGCATTACTTTAAAAGAGGACATGAAACGCTACACATATAAACGCTAATTTACACCATTGAGTCCTGCTCTCAAAAACTGACATAGATGTAACTCTGTCTGTGAAGCTGGACTTAAGAAATAAGTCCTTAAAGTTAAAGTTTAAAAAAATGTTTAGCACCACCTTCAGTCAGTACGGAACGTGACCTCATACGGTTGGTTGGTTGCGGCTAATAGCTAACATAAACTAATGTAAGTCTAACTAGTGACAGAATCGATTATGAAAAAATGACACCAAGGGGATGTTAAAACCGAGTATATACTGTCTGCTTTCGCTGTCTGTCTCTTTAGCAGTAAGGTTGTTCAGACTGACAGAAACATATTTTTCCTCCTCTGGTCGAGTGTACTGAGCGACACGATCAGTGCTATTTTATACAAGAAAATTCAGACAGTTTACAACATAACAGCTCACTACATGCACATCACTCCACTACGTTTCTTACTGAAGCACAAATCACATCAGCACGTCTGCAGTGCTCCAAGGAAGAGATGCCCACTCTTTGGAGACCTTGTTTTTTCCCCCTCACATCATTTCACTGATTAAATTACTTTATTATATTAGTGATCGAAAGCGAAGCCCAAATGTATGTGAAGGAGACTGTAATGTGGAGATTTTTATTTCCCTGCGCACATACTGATGGATCTTAGGATTTCCAATCATCTTGGGTAAGAAACAGTTTTGTTTTTTGTGTTTGTGACCCCTGTTTGGTGAACCCTCAAAGCAGAGCCAATGAGACCCCAGTGAGGATGAGACCCAAAGTGATAGCTTACCAATAATATTATATAATGAAATCGAATTTGCTAAATTCTTATCAATTCCCATCCAACCCTAATGAAAAGCAAAATAAAATTGTGCTTATTCATTAGTTATTTTTTTCCACAATTTAATTCATTATTATGACTTTATTGTTATTATTGTATTGTTGAGATATCCTACTGTGAGATGTGATATAATGTCACTTATTAATTCTATTAGGTCAATTTATAATTAAAAAATTTAAACAATTGTGATTTTATAGTTGTATTTATTATGTATACATGGATTAAAAACAACAACAACAACAAAAAAAACCCAAGGCTGTATGACGTCTATTTTAAAACTTGCTGGTAACAAGATTTAGAAAAACCTTCGACTGTTCGTTCAAATCCCGGAGTACGCAGACATTTAGCAACATCTGTCAAACCATAATTAATCAACATTCACAGATGTTGCTTTCTTTCAACCTGTTGACATTGCCCCAAAAAGCTCTTGGAACAGAGAACATCAGATTACTTTAATAAATACCAAAATGTTCCACATTATCATCCATACAATCCACCATCAGGCCCTTTTCACCTCTATGAAGTGAAGATGAGCAAATGTCCCGAATCAGCAGAGGAGTGCAGTGCACCTTCTGCTCTTATCTCAACAGAAGATTTATTTTAATACCAGAAATGCATATTTAGTAACCGCTAAGTGTAGTTAAAAACTCTAATGCTAACCTGCTGCTTGGAGATTATGGACACAGAATGATATTATGTTTTATCAGAGGAGCGGGGGAGTGTGGATGTCAAGTGCTCGCCCAGATGCACGATTTAATACCATACACACTGAGTACAATTCCCTTTTTTTTTTTTTTTTGTACTAATGAAAACAATAGCAGCACTAAACACTTCAGTCCACATTTAATTTAATCTTTGAGGGATTATCTTCTTCGGCTAATGTCAGAGTGTAAGAAGCCCTGTGAATATTAAATACATTTCCTCTGCAGATGCTCCGGCAACATTGTCAGGATAATGTCAACAGATTTTTTTCTGAGTTTCTTCATATGGGTGGAATTACTTCATGAAACATTTATGGGGAGGCGTTTGCCTTTCCTGAGTTCTCCATTAAACTTGAATGTCATGACACGAAGGGGCGGGGTTTGAGGATAAAATTTGTGTTAATGGCCTTGTGTTCCTTTGGCTTTGGCTAAATTAAAGGGCTTAGCAAATCCATCTTAACCGTGACTATACTGCCACGGGGTGAAGGGAGGAGAAACCCGCTGCAGCATTGTGCAGGATATTATATCTTAGAATAATCAGCTGAAGCTCTGATTCAGTGTGTGGTATGAATTGAATAAATTCATGCATTACTTAAGTTTGAAAAACTAACACACACAGTTTGATCAAAGTTGTTTTTTGATTGTTCTGTTTGAAAGGGAACCTCTTACACTTTTATGCATGTTTATATATGCACGCACACGTGCACGCAGTATATTAATTAAGTCATACTACCAATACGTTTGGCAGGAGCCAGTACACAGCAACACACTACCAGGCATGAGAACAACAAAGTGTGTGAGGTGAAATATGATGATATGATCCTGTAAGAACAGAAGCAACATGCAGAGATAAAAACAAGTTCAAACTGTGTTGTGTGGTAGTCAGAAATAAGTGAAAATTAGTTCCAGTGCAAAACTAGCAAGTTGACTGCAGCTGTGCAGTCATTGGAGAGCAGTTTGGGGTTGGACGTGATCCTTAAAGAATATTTGAATGGTTCCCTCTGAAAATTGAATGGTATTTTTGCTTGAAATGCTTTGCTGGAAGTGGATAACAGTCCCCATTAACAGTTCAGCTTGTCAGCTTCCTTTTTCCTGATAGTTTAAGCAGAATGCAGCTTGTTGTAAATGGTTCTTATATAACACTTTTCTACTCTGCCTGAGCACTCATGGTCCTTTATACAACATGCCTCATTCAACCATTCACACAAGTACTTTTTTCTATGCTTTCTCCTACTGAAGTGCTAATCTAATATTCACACACATTCACCCCACAGCCACTCCTTGTAGTTCCATGTTTTTAAAGGGAGGGAAGATAGTAAAAAAGTGACTGTATGAATGAATTTGGATAGTAGAGACAGAAAACAAAGAGAAAAGAAGAACAGAGGAGAAAAGATGTAAATGGGTGCTTATAATTTGAGGTTTTTAAAATGATGACAGGAAACATACATGAGCGGACTCACAAACAGCCGAAGTACAGAGATTTTTAGGCAAGACACTCTGTGTTTAAACATTTATATTAGTGCTTCAATCTAAATGTAGCTGAAACAAAGCAAATAGAGAATTGAGTGTAACAAATCAATACCAATCCATGCCCTATCTGAGGTCAGTCAGAAGTACAATTTTCAAGATTTCTTCCCCTGAAAATGCTGTAGAGACATCATGAACTAGTTGTCTAGTTCTGTGGTGGAAAACAGCTTTCTACCAACCACATTTATGTACTGTTTGTCATATTTAATTGACAAACGGTAGATAGTTTTAATTTTTGTCAGAGGAAAAACACAGAAAGCAGATTTTTTTTTCCATGTTGGGCATGTTTGCTGTATGCTTTATATTTCACTCACTTATTTAACACCGATTGTGTTAAATATTATTTTCTTTTAAATGGAGATTGGTTGATGGTTTGACTTGATGGCCGTGAACAGAGTACCACCTTGAATTTCACTTGTCTAAACATTGTCGTTTCCGAGTATTCATTAAACATTGCAATGTCAAAACGTTGTAAACTACTGTGGTTTTAAGTACTTTCTGAGCAGGTCTAGGTTAACTATTGACACGGTGCTTGAACAGACCCTCGGGTATGTAAAAAATCAGAAACATCATCAGCTGTGTTGCCATTTTTCCTCCCAGCAAAGGAAGTTTACAGTAGCCTGTCTCTGTTTGTAACCAGTGTGGATTATACAGTTGTATTATCCGTACTCGACGGTGCCGATCCTTACTAAAATTCAGCAACTCTAAAATGGCTTTGGTTCTTTCTGAAATCACTTATAAAGTAGACAAATTTAATACCCAGAGCCAAAACTCACTAGCATTTGCATAGCGGCCGACAGTAATTTCCCCACATTGTTATTGCTTTATGTCTGTCTGAGCCCATCTGTGATCTCTGTAGCGGCGAACGGTATTTCTCACTGAGTGCACTGTTGGGCTGGCGTACTGCTTTTTTCTGCAAGTGAATGAAAAGTCATCCTAAGGACATAGCGACACAGCCTAATTGCAGTTGATTAATAAAATACCAGCGCAGGCACCAGTTGGCAACTTCATTATTATGTTTCTCAAACAGATTAATTGCGCTGAACAATATGAGCCTGCCACCAGTGATAGCAAGACTTTGGATACAAAGGCAGTCATCAAGACTGAGCCTGGCTTACATTAGTCATTTTAAATAGCTCACTCAATGATTACTCTCATGTGCAATCTCTGAGGTACAGGGATGTGGCGTTAGGAGCAAGCAGATGCCCAAATGTCTAACAAGTACAACTGATCGTTATTTTTCAGAGCAAAAGACATTTAAATCACTGTCAGTGTGGCCACCATGAAAACAACTTTGC